AGTGGTATTTCCCCCTTTCCATCCTTTGTTATAGCCCCCTAAGTTTTATCCTCGACTTATCCATGGGTCATATCAAAATCTATGATTTTCACCCTGAAACCTGAAAGTTGACTTGTATACGAATGTATATGGTACCTAAGACGTGCTGTCCTGGAGAAGGCTGGTTTCCTACTGAGTCTAGTATTTTACTCCTACACCTGCCCCAAAAGGAACCAGGCAAGTGGCAGTGATGTGACAACTTGTGAAAGTCAGGATCTCATTGTGTCTATCCCTCCAACTAAGTCCCCGGGGAGAGTCTTGAAATGTAACGAGATGTGTTAATTTAAACCACAAAACAATTCTAGTAGTTTTCATTCTCACAAGGACTAGTTTTTTTTTGTAAACCTAATGGTTCTTCATTTCATCATCAAGACCAAGCCATTCACAACTACACTGTATCACAATAGACAGAGCATACAACAACACTATTGCAAGAACCAGCTGTACGGTACCTTCCCCAGGCTGATGCCACACTGCACATTTAATGCAGTTTGACACCACTTTAACTGTCATGGTTCCATCCTATGGAATCTTGGGATTTGTAGCTTGTTGTGGCATCAAAGGTCTCTGACAGAGGAGGCTAAATATATCATAAAATTACAGATCCCAGAATTCCGTAGCATTGAGCCATGGCAGTTAATACGGTATCAAACTGCATTAATTCTGCAGTATAGATTCAGCCTCAGTTATACTTAGAAGGAATAGGGAAAGCTGAGCAGGATGGTGATAAATGCCAGTGTTTTGACCCTGAGGTATAGCTCCACCATAACAGTGTCTGCAATGAAGTTAAAGATATAGCCATGTTAGTCTGTAAAATCAGTATGTAGAAAGATCTTGTAGCACCTTTGAGACTAACTGGAAGAAAGAAATTGGCAGCATGAGCTTTCATAGACTGCCAATTTCTTTTAGTTAGTCTCAAAGGTGTTACAAGATCTCTCAGCAATGAAGTTGTTGTTGTGTGCCTTCAAGTCATTTGTGACTTAGGATGATCCTATCACAGGGTTTTCTTGACAAGATTTGTTCAGAGGAGGTTTGCCATTGTCTTCCCCTGAGGCAGAGAGAATGTGACTTGTCCAAGGTAACCCAGTAGGTTTCCATAATCAAACTGGGAATTAAACCCTGGTCTCCAGAGTCGTAGACCAACACTCAAACCACTATCCACACTAGCTCTCTACTGAAGACATAAGTGAAATCTATGGCACCTTCCTGGTTATATTCCCAGGAACAAATAGTGAGAGACATATGGGAGATATTACATAGCCATTGTGGCTAGTTGCCGTTGATAGACTTATCCCATTTCTTGGTCTCATTCCCTGTTAAAAACATCCAGACTGGTAGCCACCAGTACATCTTGGTTGTTCTTTTCTGCAATATGAGGAACACTTGGAAATGTCAGCTGGCATCATGTTAGTGACTAATGCCTGTGCAATTTTCTGTATGCATATTGTACTTTTTTTGGCCATGGCATAGCACCCATATTCAGATGAAACTTGTAGAAGCATAGTTGTGCGTGTCTTGCCATTAACATGCAGAAGTGCATCGAGCATTGCAATTATGCATTTTACATTTGTTTGTACATTAATTTGCTAATGTTTGCAATTCTCTAATACACAACATAACTCTTGACTGTAACGTTAAATTTCATCTCTTTGATGCACATTTAGCTAAGAGCGAAGAGATGGAGGAGAGATATGATACCTTCAAATATCTGAAGATACTTCCAGAAAGCAAGATTAGAACTAAAAGATAGAACTAACAGGGAACAAATTTTGGCTAGCTTTCAGAAGAAGCGTCTCAATGCCAGGAATTGTTGGACACTGGGCAGTTGCAAGCTGAATCAGCTCAGGTTTTGGTCTAATTTTAAATGCACTATCCAAAGTTATGGAGAAGAGTTCTATGGATACTGTGGATTGCTAAAAAGACAAATCAATGGGTCGTAAGTAAATCAAGCCTGAACTCTCCCTAAAAGGCAAGATGAGTCCTGGCTCCTTTGAAAAGCTCCTTCAAAATTTGGACTTAAAAACCCCAGAGTAGAATCACTGGGCACTCTGACATGGAAATGCACAGGCCATGGCAATGCATGCTACAGTTGTAAAGTTCTTGTACTGAACAGGGGTTGGACTACATGACCTTTAAGGCATCCTTCCAACTTTAAAATTCCATTATTTCAAGAATAAATAAGGAGCTCTTCCTTGGAAATCAGGGACTAGTAAGGAACTTGTCGCTGCTGTTGTGTGCCTGCAAGCCACTTCTGACTTATGTTGACACTCAGGCAAACCTATCATGGGGCTTTCTTGGCATGATTTATTCAAGAGGGGGAGTTGCCTTTGCCTTCCTCTAGGGCTGAGAGAGTGTGACTTGCCCAAGATCACCCACTGGGTTTTCATGGCTAAATGGGGATAGTTTGGATGTATTCAAAATCATCCTTGAGTCCTAGTCCAACATTAAAACCATTATGCCACATTGCTTCTCAGTAAGAAGCCTACAGGCACCAATTTAATAAAGGCAGCTTTCCTAAATGACTGCATCACAGCAGTTTAGATTGGTGCTGCAGTTTTGCTCCATTAGTGCAAGGGGTTATCCCTT